CAAAGTCATTTGATTTAGGAACTTTGACCTGTTATTAAATATTGACCTGTATTAAATAGTGCAGTTGATATGAACTTGCAGCTTTGATATGGTCGCTGTGTGTGAAGTCCATGAGACCGTATAGTGTCAAATTTGTCAATTTAGGTTTCAGAAGAGTGTTCACGAACATCCGCTTTGCAGCCCTTGATTTTATGAGAATGAAATGTAGAAGAAACTCCTCTAAATGGCTCATTGTGTGTTCTGAGTTCTCAGAAACACAAGGCACTTTGTGTGCGGTATCATGGCCACCGTGTCCCTCCTCCTAGCCTCGTCCTGTGTTTTGTTTGGCGTGTAGATGGCCGCTCTGCTCACTGACATCACTGTGTTAGTGAGAGTTAGACAGGTCTTATCACTACCTGCTAGTCTCTCCAAGGTCTGAGTCAGGATATGCTGTGGTTTCGGCTGTGGATTGCGAGACTCTCTAGGTGGTCTCTGTCTATGAGAGAAATAACTATGAGGCTGGTTTGCTTTGCCAAGAATGAGAGGAATGAGTCGAGGTGTATCATTTTGTCACTTGTTTGTTAGCCATATCATCGTGGGTTTTTTTTATATCTGGGGGGAAAAAGTAGCAACACTTACTACATGATGATAGCTCCATTGTTTTGATTCATAGAGTCCTTTTACCAGTAATAAGCAATTTTTTTCCAATGGCATATCCGTCCAACATGACCGAATGCCGTTTTTTTTTCTTTTATGACACTGTAATGCAAATGCAGCTTTACAGCTAAGCAAGCAGAGCGAGGCAATAAGTAAATGTGCTCTCATAAATTGTAATTTCACAGCCTTGTGTAACATAAGCACTGGGAAGTCTGATTTTAGTGTTCTTTTAGACAAACGAACTGGTTAAAGATTATCAACAGATGATAATTAAAATTAGAAACTTCAAATTTTCTGTAAAGCTGCTTTGCAATGATTTGTATCGTGAAAAGCGCTATACAAATAAACTTGAATTGAATTGAATAATTATAATAATTATATTATTGTTAAAAATTGTATTAATAATCTTACCAGTAGACTGTATTTTAATTTGTGAAACTACAGCTTCAGAACAATACCACAACACTGTTATTTTTTCCGTTTATGCTCTTTAAAATCGAAGCCAAATATCTAAGGAAACTAGTCCACACTGTTACCTTCTTGCATGTTTTTTCTTCTTTATTCTTTTTAGGTCATTGACAGAACTTTTAGTCATTAGTCATTACCTGTTTGGAGATCTCTGGCCCTGCTGTTCATTCCATCAGGTGCTAATCAGCCAATCACAAGGCAGTGTTTATCTTCCTGTGGCGGGGCAGGCAACCCCGATGTGGCTCATTTCCTTTAATACCACAGAGGGCTGTAGTAAATTCCATTTTCAACATATTCTCTCATTTCACACCAACCCAAACAACATTTTTAATGAATAGTTCATGCAAAGTGAAAATCTGTCATTATTTACTGGTCAGTCTAAACCCGTACAACTTTCTTTCTTTTGTAGGGGCCATTTAAACATTCATATGAAAAATAAGCACAAGCCATGTATAATCTCATGGCTGTCGTATAAACCACAAACAACACTGTGGTTACTGTCCCCTACTTGCAATCTCATAAGCTTGTCTGACTCCTCTGTGGTGTCCATCGAGAGAAGGGGTCAAGGCCAGGGGAGGTCAGAGTTTCAACTCTGCACTTCCTCCCTACTGCTGCTATAATCACAAACGGAGACGATTAGCAGATGCCTCTTGGATGCCATGTAAAGGCCTGCCTTAAAAACACACTCCTGAGTGGGAAGCTCTTTGCTCAAGTGTCAACATTTGAGGCCGTGCGCAAACACCAGTAAAAGCTTAAGAACACATTAAAAGAACAAGCTCAGCTTAATTAGAAGGAGCAGTCTGTCATTTCTTTTAAAGTCCAGATGGACAGGCAAATATCCCATGGGAAACTTTCTGAATTACATGCTCGCCGCTTGACCCTAGCAGTCTCACATCTGAAGATGAAGAGTTGCAGGTTTTTTAAAACTTTGAGTCCTGGCTTTGTAAATGGTCATAATTACATGTTCATTGTGGCGGTACAATTTGTTTGTATGTATTTTGTGTACTGTTGATAAAGAAGCGCTATAAAGCTTTCCAGTGAAATACTGCTCTATGAGGTGACAGGCTTGCGCAACAAAAGTATATTTCCCGTCATTCTCTGTAGCAGCCAGAGAATGGGAAAATCTGCAGATAAAGCAATTACAAACCTAACATCAAGAAATGTAAAAAAAAAAACTGAAAGAAATATGCAATTGCGCAAACAAGCCCTCATTTCATCCCTCAAAATTACTATAGTGTGTATATATACGTAAAAATTACTTACACCAGAATACAAAACACAAAGTTCCAAAGTACTTCAAATGCCAATTCATATTCAAATCTGGACAATAAAATAACCTCACTAACACTAAAGACAGTGTTATTAAAAGAGTGGCCTAATAAAGCAATCCATAAATTATGGCGTAATGAAACCACAGGACGTGCTTCATGTCACCACCAGCATAAGTCCTCAGGGATGTGTATGCGCTTTCCCTATTAGACTTCAGTTCTCTAGAGAATCCTGATGCAATATTATTGAACCACCAAAAGAGAATCAGGCTGGCTTTCTCTATCCACTTTTCCTCTTTTTAACCCTTCCTTTTTTTCTAATATCAGATAATGCTGGGCCACTCTCTACCGTGGTTCAGTCTAAAAACCACATTGCCGTTGAGACCGATATTGTGGGTCCAAAACAATACACCAATAACAGATCAGTGGAACACAAAACGGTTTGGTTTCTGGAGTAGCAATGACTACAGCACACGTATTTCTACATGCTTAGACTCAGTGAACTCATTTTTCACCTATAAGGAATGAATAAAAAGGTGAAGGAGGCAGGGGTTTAGTGCCTCAAAGGGGCAATAAAGTCTTAATGTCTTAAGCTAGTGTAGCGAGAACAACTGCACGCTCTGAAACAGAGGGTTCCACTGTCCCAGCCAGCGGGAGAAACTAGACAGCAATGGAACGGCCCTTAACACAACAAGCAGTGCTTTTTACAAGTCTACTAGTAAAACGTCTGCCTAAGCACAGGCATAATATGCTGCATTACAGATCTGAAGTTCTGCTTAAACAGACAGCAGTCGCCCACTAAATCATCTGTCAGAAAAACCTCAAACTGAAATGTTTCTGTATCTTGCACCAACTTGAGCTTTGTGAGCTCCAGGATAAGGAATTTCCTTGGAAAAAAAGATCTCCTCCTATTTTGCCCATAATTCATCAAATTACGGGCAAAATTAAGTGCTGGCCGGTGTCCATTTGTTAAATAGACTGGAACCATTTCAATTGCCACGAAAAATGACAGAATTGCCATGAAAAAATGCTTCACTGCGGTTTACTCTTGCAATTTGGTATTGCAGCACTGCTAATATCATTACCCTGTACAATAAATTGGTTGTGCTATTTCTCATTTGTAATTTACTGTGGATAAAAGCATCCGCTAAATGAGTAAAAAAGAAATGACACATTGTATTAAATATTTCATGGTCTAGTTGAATTCACTAAAAAAAAAAATTTGAAAAGAAGTCTGACATGTACAACAGCAAACAAGTTATATAATATAGAAACCAAGGAATATGAACAAAAGGCTGACAGATAATAAAGACGTCTGGGATGTTCCACATCATGTCAAAAATCAACAGTAATTTCCTGTTTTCCATTAGCAGAAACTAGGTTAGGCTTAGTTAACAAATGGCAAGTTTCAATAAAATGTAGTAATGGAATATGGAATAAACTAATTTCAAAATAATGTAGGTTTTACATGTAAACCCATGAACATGCAGATCCTGTTGTAGCCTTTAAAACCGCTGTTCCATGATTATCCCACACTGATAAAATGATTCTGCGGTGAAGTAAATACTATGGAAAAACAAATGTAATTTCTACGTTAAATAATTTAGTTCAGGGGGAAAAAAAAAAAAAAAAAAAAGAGTAAATTCCATATCATTACTCAATTCAAGCTTGTAGAAATTAAAGTTTGAAGGTTTAGTAACTTGCTGTTTTGCGACATCTGAGGTTCATTTGGGGTTCATTATATTCTGTAGACCAGGGGTGCCCAACCCTGCTCCTGGCGATCAACTGTCCTGCAAAGTTCAGCTCCAACCCTTATCAAACACACCTGAAGCAACTAATTAGGATCTTCAGGATCACTTAAAAATTAAAGGCAGGTGTCTTTGATTAGAGTTGGAGCTAAACTTTGCAAGACAGTCGGTCGTTTAAGTTTGTTTCTTTCAGTACATGTCTCATATCAGAAATGATAGATGTAGGTCATTTATAAAACAATGGTAGGATTTGAAATGCATTTTTTTAAAGGATTTGTTTGAAGGGCAGCTGTAACGCTGTATGTGGTATTGCAGCAAAAACCACCTAGAACACTTCAATAGCACATAATTAGAGTGTTCTGGGTAGTGTCTAGGGCATTGAGTGTTCATGTTGTTTGCTAGATGGCTGCATAGATATGCACCTAGCAAACAACCCAAACACTTTACAAGTGTCCCTTCTTGAGTCTAGGGTACTTTTTTATTCGGTTAAGTCAGCCAGGAAAAAACACAAGCCTCATCACTTGGTAATAGCAATATCATAACTCTCCTCAACAAGCCACATGATTTGAGATATTCTTCATGCCTGTAGCACAAATGGTTTAATAGTTAGGGGTTTTGAAAATGCAGAAAGATTGCAGAACTATACATACAGTATGAGCAATTGCAATAGCAAGAACCACTAATTATGCACCCAAGAATCAAGCTAAGAATGCAGGGTTAATTCTTATTTCAAAACATGAGATACAACACAAACATTCGGTGCAGGAACTGTGGCACCAACTGTGAGAGAAGCACATTCATAGAGCTTTAACGTAACACCTGAATAACCAGCAGTTCATAAAGGAAGCATTCATACCGTGAGAAGATAAATTGACCTTACCTCGGCAAACCTGACCCCTGGGTATGTGAGAAGGGCCCTGGAAACATGCAGCTGGATGGCCTGAAGAGCTCTGCTGTATCCTCTCGCATCATCACCAAGGTGGCATGTTTTCCCACAAACAGACTCCCAGACTCTGTCAGAGATGCAGCCGGTGGGTAGAGTCCTCACTATAGCTCTTGTGCCGGTGCACACTGTCTTTTTGATCTTCTGGTTGTTCTTGAGGTACCTCCTGACCAGGACAGTAGAGCGCTCTTTCTTGTTACGCACAAACTCGCTATCGGACACAGAGCCCTCGCTGTCACTACAGTCAGGTACAGACAACATGAATGGCGTGGACCTCTTAAGGCATCTGTCCTGAGAGCACATGGGTTTGCTTTTCCTGTTGAGCCTTTCCAAACTAGAGAAGCCATTTTTATGGCACACGGCACATACAAAGTCCGTTCTGTCACGCATTTTGTTATTCATGGCAGTGCCGCAACCATTGGTGCATTGAGGCCCTTGTGGTGAGGATACAGGCACACTGTTTCGCCTCAAATCCAGCCCACAGAACGGCAGGCTCTCCGTGTTTTGGCCGATTACGAGTTCCATCTGGCACAGTTCGTCATCCGAGCCACTCAACGTTGGCCGCTCTCCAGCAAGGCAAGTAACATCAGAAGAAAACCCTTCTGCTTTCGTCTGCTGGGGCACCGTTCCCCAGCTTCTAGGAGGAAAGCTATTCTCCGGGCAGACTTCTTCGCTTTCCACTGGATCGCAAAACCCACACATCTGGCACACGTACAACCCTTCCTCCCCGTGCCTTGCAGCCCCACAGCTGCAGCTTTTGGACCTGTAGGTCTCGTCTAAGCAATCCAAACTTCTAGACCTAGTATCCAAAGACTTCCGCATTCTGCACTTTGTGCATGGTGAGTCCCCCTCTGAAGTCTCGAATGAAAACCGAGGGGATTCGTTCTCAGGCAAGCCGTAGTTCACGGATATGAGAGCATCTCCATTATTCGCCGAAGTCTCCTTACCAAGGCTCTTCACTCCCAGCACAGCGGAGGCCCTGTCGGAGGCCATGGAGCTCATGAGGCCAATATGCACCTGTTTCGCCACACGAACCCTCATATCACTAGGCACCTGTTGACAGATCCTCCTTGCTCAACTTACACCGAGGACAAGCTTCTGGCAAACTACTCCTAAGATGATGGCCTTGGGATCAGAGAATGTATCTCAGTGGGTCTGTCTAAAGTGGAAGATTCAGGATGACTGCCGTAGAAAGTGACGGCTGCGTCTTCTCAGTTTTTTTCGCCCCTCCCAAATTTAACCTCTTCTCCCAAGACCTCAGGGCCTCAGAACACTAGACGAGAGAGGAAGCAACAAAAAAAACAAAAACAAATTTCAATAAACAACATCTCTTGCCACGCAGTATTTTAAGTGACCTGAAAATGTTCTCAGAATGAATGAAGAAATATGACAATGCAAGAGCAAGAACATAAACATACTGTAACTCAACACACTGGTTTTTCTTGGCCTGGGCAAGGCTAGAAAATTTCTCAATCCTTATCAGAGCCAAGCTGTTTTGTGTCTTACTAGGTGCTATCTGGGAAAGTTGTTAAAACTGCACTTCACCCACAACCGAATGTTTAAAACACTGAAGAAATATTTCAAGGACAGGATGTACATTTTGACAGCACGAAATGAAAATTCACATCCACTCAATAATATCTCCCTCTCAGGAAATCACACAGCTGCCCAAAATCTCACTACAGGCTTCAGCCCCCCCAGTCCTATACAAAACGCACGGGTCTCTGGAATGTAAAGCCTCGCTTAGAGGGGGTCGGACGAATGAGATTAAAGGGGGGCATTCGCTGCATTGATTCAGGGTGAATTCAGCCAGTCAAGAGTCTTCAAACATGGCTCAGTTCCCACACCACAGTCAACAATAAATCACTGCGCTAGCACAGTGAGGAGTTCTTCTTTCATAACTCAGCACTTGAGTGATTGTAATCAGACATGGGCTTGGTGAAAGGGAAGAGTGTCAAAGACACTATAACAATGCTAATATTGTGTAGGGACAATGTATTTCTCAGGCTGAATAAAACAATCAACTCTGACTTTCTACAAACACTACATTTTTATATTTTCCTAAAAAAAAATGGTGGTGGAAAAAAAGTGGTGCAAAACTGAGCAACTATTACATTGGCCACTGCTTAAAATAAGGGATGTGATTGGTGGATCCAAGGGTATTGCTAAGGTGTTTTAAAGGAACACTCCACTATTTTTGAAAATAGGCTAATTTTTCAACTCCCCTAGAGTTAAACAGTTGAGTTTTACCGTTGAAGTTAGCCTATTTTCAGGCGCTGCGTAATATCATTGCGCCTGCTGCACCCATGGTACTGCAGCAAAGTTCCTTGATTATTACGCCGGAATGGGAGTATATTTCCTAGCCATATCGGCCTAGAAAATCACAACTTTTCATTTTCTGTCGGTCTTAGTACAGAGTTTTCTTAGTACAGTCGGTCTTAGTAGAGTCAAGTTTTAAATAGGAAAAATATAGAAACTCTTTGGTCATTTTTGAGCGAGATGCTAACGGTCTAATCAGATTCAATGATCTATGCTAAGCTACAGCTAAAAGTGCTACGCCAGACCCGGAGATCGGCTGAATGGATTCGAAAACGGTAAAACTCAACTGTTTAACTCTAGGGGAGTTGAAAAATTAGCCTATTTTCAAAAATAGTGGAGTGTTCCTTTAAGCAGTTATTAGATCAAATGTGCTGGGTGGTTGCTAGGGTGTTGCTAGAATGTTCTGGCTCTGGCACCTCCTTCGACACAAGTTTATAGGATTTCTGTTCCCGTTTTATCATCTGCCGGGGAACTCGTACGCTAAATCACTTAGAAAAGTAATAGCACAATCTCCGCAAGAAGATTCATGATTTGTGGTGTCATTCATGTCCATAGATTTATACACCTAAAATTAGGGAACAGTTCACCTAAATAGAATAGGTCATTATTTACTCATGAGACATGCAAGTGGCATTTGCCAATAAACAGTCGTCATCAAACCATTTTTAAATCTGAAAGCAAATGCATTTTCATTAGAGCTGCACGATTAATTGTTAAAAGATCGCAATCTCGATTCAAACACCCACATGATCTAATTTCTGGCAACAATTTCTGGCAACGATTCACCTGTGTCTATTAAACCTTTGAAAAAATCATACTGGAACATTCGAATCAGCGTTCGCGCTGCCGCTGACAAAGAGAGCAGACAGTTACCGTGTTTAAGTAAGAAACAGCTTCATAAACAGTCTTTTCAACTACACAGTATTATTTCTGTCTTACAGTCATTCATATTTTCACAGAAATACTGGGATAAAAGTTTATAGTTCGGATATAAACATTGATGTCTATGGTATCAAAATAGAGCAAGTCATCTTTTGAAAGTAACTGGCGCTTCAAATAACGTTTGTGTCGATCGATTGCATCGTGTAAATATTTATATATATATTAAAATGTTTAATAATTCAAATTAAATGGTTAGTTCACCCAAAAATCACTCACCCTTATGTCGTTTCAAACCCGTAAGACCTTTGTTAATCTTCGGAACACAAATTAAGATATTTTTGATGAAATCTGAAAGCTCTCTGACCCTGCATAGACAGCAAGCAACTGAAATTGCGTACTCCCCAAAATGGCGGAAGAGGGTAACTCGGGGAGAAGAACTGTTGAATAAATTGTGTTTTTTTCTTTTCTATGAGCACAAAAAAGTATTCTCGTAGCTTCACAAAATTGAAGTTGAGCCACTGATGTCACATGGACTGTTTTACCGATGTCCTTTCTATGTTTCTGTACCTGGGAACATTACAGCTGCGTTGCGGTCTATGGGAGGGCCAGAGCTCACAGATTTCATCAAAAATATCTTAATTTGTGTTCCGAAGATGAACGAAAGTCTTACGGGTTTGGAACGACATGAGGGTGAATAATTAATGACATAATTTTCATTTTGGGGTAAACTAACCTTTAATTTAACACTTTTAAATAGACTGCAGCAATTCATATTTTGTCATTCATTATTTTGTTTAGTTCAGAATCGTGGGAGAATCCTGATTCTCAATTTATCCAGAATTGTACAGCTCTAATTTTCATAGCTTTAGCCGAAAGAAATTATATGTGTGAATAATGTTATCCCTTTCTTTTGTTTTCCATTCAGAACTATCGTCTGATTTGGAATAAGTTAAACAATACCTGTGTTTGGGACAGAAGATGAGTACTGCTATTGTATCAGAAGCCACTTAACATGTTTTGTCTTTATCTGCACCCAGAATACATTCTCCAACATTACTAAAGCACATAACATATGCATTCCTGCCTGCTGTGGAATGAGTTCACATAACAGATAAACCAGACACACCCTTGTCTCTATGACAAACTGTCATATATTCACATGACTTCATGAGGTAGCCTGACTATGAAGTGATGGAAAAAAATATTGTTTTTTTTATTTCACATTCTGGCCAGTTGTTAAGCGGCTGATGGGTGTTCAGGTTGCATACTGGTCAAAAAGGGGTTTAATACGTAACGGTCATAGTGATGCTTCTCTTAGCAAACACAACTAATTATAGTTCTTCTAAAAATTGTTAAAGCCTAGAAGTACTGCAAGCCTTTATTTGTATATGTTACATTATGAGAATTGCATCCAATCTGTCATGGTCATTTCCTGTTATCCTTATTGATGTCATGGTCATGTGCCAACGACCGACGTATCTGATTATGTCAGCCTGCCTGCAATGGGTGTTACATGCATTTGTGCCCTAAATACCTGAACTTGTCAAAGACACCTCTTACTTATCTAAACTATGAACTGTAGCAATAAAGAGGCAGCATATCGTGCCTCCAGAAAGGAGGGTAGGGATGAGTGTCTGTTGAGGCATGAGGCCATTGTAACGCTTGGAAATTACGGGAATTCCCACCTCCCCAAATCCACCTCCGCACCCCCTCCTTCTCCCCTTCTTTTCTGAAGCCAGCACAAGCTAATTATCTGTGCTAGCTTGATTCTGTTCCCGTGCAACAGGCAGCTACTGGAGCAAAGCCTCATCCAGACTTGGAACAGTTCATCAAAACAATGCCATCAACGACAACATACATGCAGAATCAATTCAGATTAAGGCAATCTAAGCTAACAGCCAACATAAATGGAACTAGGTCAATTGTTGTTGATCTCTGACTGACCAATGTTACTGCAGTTAAGGCTGGAACAAAGTCGGCAAGTGTACAAAGGCAAGTTTACAAAGTCGGCAAGTGTATGACACCTAATGTTTTGAAATCTGTTCATATTTTAAAACATTAGGCATCATACATTTGGCGACTTTGTGAATGGTTACAGAGAAAAACTGGGCATTGTACACTATAAACTGAGGATCACACACTACCAGACTTCCAAGTCATTCTGAACACAAACAAACTCACACAGAGCATGTGCCTCGTTAATAGGAGATGCATGACAACATAGGTATGTATTCTAAAATTGGCTCAAAACATAGTTGATATCAATGTCTAAACGAATTCATAATCTGAAGCTAAAAAAATCTGATCCATCATACAGGATATAATTTTATGTGAAATCGGTCAACTCTGACTTCCAAAAATCTGTAGACTGGCCATGAATTTTGAGATGGTCCTCACTGCAGAACACAAGATCCAGGGGGTGTGGTTGGATCCAGATCCAACGTCCTCCCATCTTACGTATACCTAAACCTACCCGTCTCCACCCCCTAGATGTGGATCCAACCACGCCCCCTGGATCTTGTGTTCTGCAGTGAGGGGCTACTGTGAATTTTGGCAACTAGCACTGACTCATCCAGACTGTAAATCGGGGCAATCATTTGGGCTGAAGTCATGTAGTGTAGGCTATTCTAGCCTTTATCTAGAACCAAAACTTTAAAAACTGTTTTCATAAAATGAAATGAAGCTAAAATAAAAAATAAATAGCCTATTAGATGTACAAATTGAACTTAAAAACTGTAAAATTTAAATTAGAAATGTGGCCTTGCAGACATCTGAAATAAGTACAAGTTAATGCACCAAAATGACTAAGAATAACATAAAATAAATAAAATAAAAATAATTTAAATAAATGAAAGCCAAGTAGAAATATTAAAAATGACTAAACTTTAAATTAAAATATAAACATTAAAAAACATATAAGCTAATTCAAAATATGAATAAATACTATAATAGTATGTAAATAATGCTAAAATAAGTCTTTGACTGCTTTCCTTGAGGCCTCAATGAAAAGATGACACACTAATAAAAATTATATAAGCCCTAAACAAGCAGCGGCAAAACAGACACAAGCTGATACAAGCTAATACAGACCCAGATTCAAGCTGACAATTTGTAAAAAAAAAAAAAAAAATTAAATAAATAAATAAATCAAAGAAATCCACAGATCACTACAGGCATGTCTAAACACTTGGAAAGACACTTGTTGACACTAAATCAACAAGTGTTTGATATAATAAATGTACAGTCTAATGATCTTGATCATTTGTGGGTGTGTAATGTCTTCTGACAGACATTCTTGTTCAGCAACACGAAGCTCAGGTGTGTCAACCTAGATTCAGTTTCACAACACATGAAACGGTCTGTTCTGATTACTCACACCCATAGCATTTTATGCAAAAAAAAATCAGATTCTTAGAATTGTGTCATATACTGAGTATTGTCATAACTGATCAAAGGTCTATGATTACAGGCTTGTTTACAGCCAAGCAAAAGTTCCCTTCTGATCCCAGAACAGTAACCGAGTACTACTCGCCTCAAAGTCTTTCTCCACCGAGTTCTCATAAAAACAATGTGGCATGTGAAGTGAAGCAGACGAGTTTTCCATCTATTCACATTTTCCAGGCTGGTAAATGAAAATGGATTGTATGAGTTACAGCCTAAAGAGCCCAAACCCCAGGATCACTCGTGCAAGATCAGGTTACAGAGCTGGTCAGCTCAGTCACAGCACTTTACTAGAGCAACATAGGATTTCCATTAGAAGCTGACTTCACCAAACTAGACTTGGGGGAGCCTGTAGAGGCAGAAAAGGGGGGGACAGAAAAATGTCTCACTGTGCTTTTGGGAGAACGTGCCTTTTGCTGAAATATTTCCTCACATACATGCAATTTAAAAAACTGATCATCATCGTGATGCCACACACGATTCAAAAACATCACCACATGTCTTTAATAGAAGCATCCGCTCTGTCACAGTCAAACCTTTAACACCTGCCTAAACACTGAGAAGATTTTACTAGCAAAAAAGTTACAAACTATAGCAATACAATGGTATTATTATTATATATCATGATAGTACCATCTATAATGTAAATATTATACCACAGTATATACACGAAATAAAAACAACTGAGGTGAATGAATACACGCGAGTAGCAAGACACTGTAGCCTATTTCTTTCATTCATTTCCGACTGTTGTAATCCGACAACGCAATTTATCAACTAACACGTCGTTTTGACGCTCAACTGTAGTCAATTCAGATAAACACAAGATTCAACACTACAAACGTAACATAAACACGTGCCAAGGACATGAGAAACAACTCACCGTTGCAGCAAGTCACACCAGAAAACCGCCTCACGCGAAACTGAGTGAAACTTCATCCTGGTTTCAGAAATTGACTGTTATGTTTGCAGAGTCCCGCAGCAACCGTAGTAAAACAAAGTTGCGTTTAAGTTGGTGGAGGCGGGAAACTCAGTCAGTCATTCGGTCAGCAGTAGCAGACACTGCAGCGGAGCCAGCACAATAACTGTTGCAGAGGTGTCACTGCATAGGAATGTCTGAGGAGGACTTTAACTCTCTGTACCGCTCAAGAGACTGACACACTTCATTACTGTCACAGACACATGCTTGCATGTCTTCATAAATACCAAATATTTCACTTTCAGAAGTTACAGAGGGACCTACCATGGTAATACTGTTTTTAGATGGTACAACCAAGGTATAAATTGAAATACCTTGGAGTTCCAGCTAAATACTACACGGTACCTGATATGTTAGTCATGCTTCTTATATCATATAAAATAGAAATATAACAAATTACACAGCAGTTCCCTCCTCGAATTCCATTGGCCGAGCTGTTTTCCAAGAGTTCTGATTGGTGGGGACTGACTGTTATTGATACTTGCAGGTTACAACTCTCAGCCAGTAGGTGGCGACAAACGACTGTATTTATGAATGAGTCACTGAATCATTTAATCAATTGATCAATGTAATGCCGCAACTATTTTGTTCATAGAAGTGCAGTGGTTGATCCTGTTTCGACTTTTGGGACTATTTTTTATTGGTGGAGCAAAAACGGACAAAATACTAATTAATAATATGACAGTCGTGTGTATCAGATATCACATAAAATATGAATATTTACTCAGCACATAGATTCATCCTCAAATTTGATTAGCTAAGCAGTGTTCCAAGAGTTCTGATATGTGATAGGGATTGTAAGTGATCCTTTCTGCAGGTTACAACATTATGCCAGAGACTGTATAAGTGAGTCACTGAATCATTCATTCAATCAATCAATTCATTCAAAACGCTGATTCATTCAGTCACGCTATTATTTTGTTTGGAGACCATTGATAACCATTGATAACCATAACCATTGATACTCTTTCAGCTTTTGGGACTATTTTCACTGGTGGAGCAAAAACATCCAAATTACTACATGATATGGTAGTCATGTATATTAGATATCACTTAAAATATTAATATTTACACTGTACTTTATTTCATCCTCAAATGCGATTGGCCAAGCTGTTTTCCAAGAGTTCTAATATTCTGATATTATGCCAGTAGGTGGCAACAAGTGATTGTATTTATGATCATGATCTATGTAAAACAGTTGATCCTGTTTTGACTTCTGGGACTATTTTCATTGGTGGAGCAAAAACAGACAAAATACACCAGCAGGTGGCGACAAGTGATTGTATTTATCAGTGAGTCATTGAATCATTCAATCAATTCATTTAAAACACTTAGTTTTGAAATAACGCCTCTATTGTGTGTATCTATTCCAAATAGAATTATTTTCATTTGTGGAGCAAAAACAGACAAAACGACTGTCTAATTTGTAAATTACTCAATACTAAGCCATATGCGACACAATATCATATTAATACCACATTGTTTGACAATTGAAATAGTATTAAATGGTATTTTTATTTATATATTTATTTACTTTTATAGTACCATGGTATACCGTTCTTTATAAAACGGATAGTTCCGGTCCTTGATTCTGATTGGCTGAGCTGCGTTCGAAGCTGTTGTGAATTACACAATTATGTCTGTGTGTTGCTCGGCAACCACTTTGTTGCAACCACAACGGTTTCTGAGGAACTACATTGTTTGGCGGAAGAATAATGTTTTTATTAATATCATTACATTTTATTTGCTTTGTTTTATTTTGTGAAACCTTGCTACATCTATGGAATAACCGTTTTATAAAAGCAATAAGCCCCGTGAAGCCGTGGTTTAATCCACTGTAAACCACGGCTTCACTGAGCTTATTGTATTATTAAAGCACGGTAAACTACAATTAGTGAAGTACCATTGCACTCGTAGGAATGCTGCATGGAGAGTAACTGGTTTTGGCTACATCTGAAGGTTATTTCCTTTTGCCGAATTGATAACATTGTTTGATTTCCTGTTGTCCCAAACTAGATTAATTATACCATTGCTTTATTGAATGAATAAGATCACAGAATGAAGCCAGATGTTTTCATGTAGTAAACGCATGTTCATGATTTTGTATTGTGCTAGTTTATTCTTTTTTCTTCATGTTTGTTATGCTTTGTTTATGCATGCAGTGGTAATCCACACCTAATACAGTCCAAACAGAGGGGTTTGTATCCAGCTCCTCCCACCATACACTACTCAATCTTTAAAGAAAATAACCCAAGGGAATATAAAATGGGTTATTAGGCAAATGATCATATAGAAATATGCCAATGCATATTTACTTTAACTATGTGTTTGTATTCTTGGCAGAATAGCAATGATTTTTCCGATTCTTAGTCCACAAGGAGGGAACTCTTATGCCATCCAAAAAGAATGCGCAATTCTTCCACTCCCAGTCAGTCTGTCACATGTAATCCTACAGCATGTGGAACTGTTGCTTTCCAGTTGCAGTTCATTTAGAAAACCACACAAGTAAGCCTTTGTTTGTTGCAGTTCACTATGACAGTCTTTTATGTGCTTTTATGATTCCGGTTTTGGCTTTCATGCAATAATTTCTGATCACTCATGTTTGCACGACTAGCGCTTGTTGCACAACTATGCAGACATAATTGTGTTTTTAGCTCAGGTTTTTGATCATATTTTAGGATGAGACTATTAAACAAGGCTTCATGCAATCGTATTAAAATAAGACTGTCACAGGTTATACAAAAGTGTTTGCTATTCTGGTGGAACTTCAAAATCTGTCACTCTGTGGGCTTTTTGTTTGGTCTTTCTATCTAAACACCTGCAAGTGAAGGTTTCCATGAACTGAAGTCTCAACAATTAAAGATGGTGTTGATCTAAACCTGTCATTGTCTCCTCGTGATCTGTGTTACACTGCCGCCCTCTACTGGATAGTAACTTCAACTGACGACTAGAAAAATAAATGGATGCTGACAAAACCGTTTTGAAAATGCTCACTAAAGAGTGACTAAGCACTTTTATGTAATCAAATTTAAACAATAAACATGTTTGTTTATCCACGTTCTAATTATTTGTTTATATCTGTAACATCCGTTATGATCTTTTGCGCAAATGTTATGATGTATCATCCACTATATAATTTCTCTGACTTGCAGTTTCCATGTGGCAGAATGTGATTTTATTTTTATTATTTCTTTTTACTTCACTGATAGTTTGGACTGCTTTTTTAATGAATGCTTGACATGTAACAAACATCAGGGTTGGACAAAATTCAAACCAACTATATATAATTCGAATAAAGCAAATAATTAGACAAAATATAAACAATATTCTGATACATTCTAATAGATGTTCTCAAATAATTACAGATTAAGATTAAGCTGTTGACAAAAAATGTTGACATCATCACATTTAAATCTATTACTTAATATACTGAGCTATAACCACACAAATGTACTTATAATAAACATTAGAAAATGTCAAAATTCCTTCATACAAAATTATTTTTCGAAACTGTAAATAAAAAACAATATTATTGGAGTACATTTTACAAGTAAATACTATTTTCATCTTTTTAAATTCACTTTTATTGCAGTGTGTTTAATTATTTTTGAAATTTAATAGCAATTTCTGAGTAAATTTTTTTATGCATCAATTTTTTCAGTGTACCGATCTACAATGATGATTATGAAAATGAACAAAATGAACATGTAAAATATATATTATAATGAACAACATGGTGTGGGGCAATATATGCTTTTAACATAATTGGCAAGAATCTAAACTTTAGATTTTAAAGGTATTGTACGGTGGCCGAGAAGTGCAAAGCAAATCACAATTCTGAAAACAAAATAACAAATTACAAACACAAATGCAAGTCTAAAAAACAAAATAACAATTCAGAAAACATAACAACAATTCAGAAAACATTATAACAAGTCAGAAAACACAACGACAAATCCGAAAACAAATTAACAAGTCAGAAAACACAACGACAAATCCGAAAACAAATTAACAAGTCAGAAAACACAACGACAAATCCGAAAACAAATTAACAAGTCAGAAAACACAACGACAAATCCGAAAACAAATTAACAAGTCAGAAAACACAACGACAAATCCGAAAACAAATTAACAAGTCAGAAAACACAACGTCAAATCAGACAAACCGGAAGACGTAGGTATAGTTTGAGACAGCCCCATTGGTTTGGGATTACTCACGGCTGACTGGACGAGACATCTGTCAATCAACGTATACAAGAAGAACCAGTACATTTAGTTAAAAGTGGTTGTAAAACATCAGCTCCAGTGGTGCAGATGGATACCGCTTGTCATTGGCTTTTTGACGTGCTTGACCCGGGTTCGATCCCTCCTTTTGCCGAACTTTTTTTCTCTCCCTTTTCAAATCACATATCACATCGTAAAGGCATTTATTTTCTCCCTTGAACTCACCAATGAATCCTCTGCAGTGAATGGGTGCCGTCAGAATGAGAGTCCAAACAGCTGATAAAATTACAGTCGATTCAAGTTACAATGCCTTAATGATGGATTTGTTTCTTATAAGCACACAGCTTTTTACTTCACAAGACATTGATTGACTGGAGTCGTGTAGATTATTGTAACGGCACCCATTCACTGCAGAGGATCCATGATTGGTGAGCTAGTGATGTAATGCTTAATTTCTCCAAATTGATTGTTATGAAAAACTCATCTACATCTTGGATGGCCCGAGTAAATCTTAAGCAAATTTTCATTTTTAGGTTCAGGGCTGCTTGATAATTACAGACAGGTGTGTTGGAGCAGGGTTGGAACTGAAATCTGCAGGACGGTAGCCCTCCAGGACCAGGGTTGGACACCCCTGCTCTATATGATAAAACAGTACTACTGTCTCAACAGTAGTATCTTGATTAAAAAATATCTGTTGTCTTCACTAAAGAATATTGACTTTAAGAAACTACAAAACCGCTAAAAATACTGTCATATACTGTACATACTGCATACAGTACGGTCCTAAAATCAAAGACCAAAGAAAAAATCTCAGACTTTCGATGTATATTATTACAGTAATACAGCTTCTTTGGTATCTAATGCAGCAATTATTTGTAGCAAACATATAAAATGTTTTTTTTCCGTCTCACTATAATATGCAATCAGCTCTTATTTTTTGTGCTGTTATACCACTTCCTTATTGCCACCCCACTAGTGCTGCTAATCACACACAGCGCTCCTCCCAGACTCCACCATGTCGGTTTGCGGTTGAGGAATAGGAACTGCAGAATGAACGCCAGGACCACATCCATCGTCCTCATCAGTGCAACAGGTCCTGCTTTCTCAATCTGCAGGGCTTTGGTAAGGAACGTTTGGCCGGCAACACCGAGCAGCCCGATGGCCATGAGCGTCCACCTGTCCCAGCCACAGAATGGAATGGTCCATTCGTCCAAGATGAACAAGACAATGACACACTCGATGAGTCCCAGGACTGCATAGTACCACACAGAGAGGTAGTAATGAACACTTTTCCCTATTTTTCTCAGAATGACCATAGTGCAAGCCGCTCCGATCGCCCCTGTGAAGGCAGCCACCGTGCCTTTGATGTGATTGGTGTAGTCTCCTTCGATCCCAGACAGCTTTCCACCAAAGAGGAAGGGAGGTCTGGCTATCAGTATGACGCCGGTGAGCGTAAACATGGTAAAAACAACGTCCCATATGGTGAACCTCTCCTTGAGGAAAATCCAAGCCAGCAAGGATGTGAAGACTGGATTACTGAACATTATAACTGTGGCATCCGCTAGGGGCATCTGCAGAACTGCATAATACAACAATATCATGGCGTTGGAGCCCAGGAACCCTCTGAAGAACAGGTAGATTCGCATACCTCTAGGTCCCAAAAAACCAGTACTGAAAAAATAAAGGTTGTAGGTTATTCCCACATTGTGGAGTCAAATTAATATTGAATCCAACTACAGGGTGAAGAGATTGATACTTGGAATATATTACACATTCAAAAGTAGTAGTATAGATTGATACTTACTTGAAAATGAATCAGATTTATACTTGTTTTATGGATTCTTTTAATGTATCAGATTCATACTTGTATTATAAAGCCTTACTTGTAAGATATCAGATCCATACTTGTATTATAAAGTCTTAATATATCAGATTCATACTCGTATTATAGAGTCTTGTATCATATAAGATAGATATAGAGTCTTGTATCATTTAAGATATAGATTTTTGTAATATATCAGATTCATATATGTATTTTAGATTCAAACTTGTAACATCAGATTCATACTTGTAGATTCTTGTAATATATGTATTATATATTTTTACTTTTTAATACATTAGATTTATATTTGTTTTATACTATCATACTTGTATTATATCTTTTTGTAATATATCAGATTCATCATTGTATTATACATTCATACTTGTACTATAGATTCTTACTTGTAATATAACAGATTTGTACTTGTATTACACATTCAAACTTGTAATATATCAGATTCATACTTGTATTCTAAATTCATACTTGTATTATATATTCTTACTTGTAATACATCAGATTTATATTTGTTTTATACTATCATACTTGTATTAAATAGTCTTACTTGTAATTTACCAGATTCGTACTTGCATTATACATTCAAACTTCTATTATAGATTCTTAATTGTAATATATCATAAATTTATACTCATATGATAGATTCATACTTGTAATATATCATGGCTGGCATGACAAACAGCATCTGGAAGAAGCACCGAATTGCACTGATTTCTATGGCGTGCATCCCCTCAATTTTCTTCACAAGAAGAGCGGTAACTTAAATGATTTTAGCAAATGGCTGCAATATAACAAAGAGTGAAAAATTTAAGGGGGTCTGAATACTTTCCGTACCCACTGTACATGTAATATATCATAAATTTATGCTCATATGATAGATTCATACTTGTAATATATCATGGCTGGCATGACAAACAGCATCTGGAAGAAGCACCGAATTGCACTGATTTCTATGGCGTGCATCCCCTCAATTTTCTTCACAAGAAGAGCGGCAGCAGAGAAGAAGACGGATGCTAACAAGGTGTACAGAAGGCCCAGCCCTGGACATGCTGGTTTCTTTTCTGTGGATGAATATAACAAAACAGCTTAACATCACACCTGTTAGTCAATTACACATAAATCAGACGGTATGCTGAATAATTATTAGTTTTGACTGCATAAATAAATATTTGCTGAGAAAAGCCACTAAATGCCGACGATTCAAGTAAATTATCCTTGTGACCAAGGTTGAGCAAAATTCAGATTTGAAGAACTTGTTCCTTTTCAATTCCTGAGTGTGAATTTAAATTTGGCCACCAACCACAGAAGGGAAAATTAGAATGACAGGAAAAGAAATTTACTGAATTGCAAAACTGGAATTTGAATTTCTGTAAGTTCTTTCAAACCTTAATTTTTTTTACTGACAGCAGAATTCACAACAATATCCTTTGCATTTAGGTACTTCAAGCTTAAATTGCTCCAATGGTGGGAAAATTCATTATTTTGAATTTACATCAAGTTCAAGAGACATTTTAGATTTTTTTTAAATGCTTTTTATATAAAACTGTACCAAATTACATGGTAAATTGACATTTTCCACAACTCTAACGAAAATTAACCATGGTTACTATTGATAAACCATCGTAACCACAAATTAACCATGGTTTTGCTACACTAACCATAGTTTAGGTATTTGTAGTAAAACTGTGGTTATACCAATGGTAATCAACATCAACACATGGTCAAAAAACCATGGTTACTACACTTTTACTATAATAAAACCATGGTCAATTTTCTTAAAGGGGTGGTTCACTGGGTTTTTTTCTAGGCTTGATTGTGTTTATGGGGTGCAGTCTAACATGTGTTAATGCTTGTAAATGCATTATTTTCGACATAATTTACCTTTATTCCACACAGCTCTGTCCCTTCTCTGAGAAACGCGCTGATCTTTTCCTGTTTTTATGAAGCCCCGCCCTCAGAAATAGGTGATGGGCTCTGATTGGTTAGCTAGCCCAGTGTGCTGTGATTGGCTAAACCGCCTCTATTGTAGCCACCACTGTAATCAAAATGCACAAATAAATCTCATATTAATTTATAAGAATTGAAAGGTAGAAATAATAACTGTAAAAACTTTATTTTTGGTTAACAGGTGGCTATAAGTAACCACAGTATATTTTAAAAGCGGAAACAATGGTGGTAACTGTGTGTAAGGGGCTTGATACAATGTAACTGTTCTGTCAGCTTTTATGAAAAGAAGTTACCATGGTAACTGTCATTTATCCCACAGTTACTACAGTTAATATTTAGTTACTGTAAAATCGCTATAAATTGATAAGCGATCACATTCAAAACAATCAGAAATATGTTGTGTTGGTAAAATCTGATTTACTTATGTTTAATTTTTGATGGCTAATACAAAGTTACCACAGATTTACTGTAGTATCAATGGTACTCTTAAAAAAGATACAAGGGTTACCAGGTTGAATGTGTGTTAGAGGTTTGATACAAATCTGCAGTCATGTCAAATCATTAATGGTAGGTTTCTAATACCAAGTTACCATAGCTTTATTGTAGTTTATCTGTTGTACTTAAAAGTGGAAAGCATGGTTACTGTATGTAAGGGGCTTGATAAAATGTAACTGTTCTTGTTAGCTTTTATAAAAAAGTTACCATGGTAACCCTGCCATTTATTCCACATTTACTACAGGTAATAACAGTAGTATTGATGGAATTTTAAAGATGAAGTGATGGTAACCACGGTATGTAACAGGTTTGATACAACGTAACTGTTCTTGTCAGCTTTAACAGAATAAACTCTTAAAAGTTACCATGGCCACCCTGTCATCCCTTATGAAAATCAACCAAGGTTTAACTACAAAGAAAAAAAACATGGTTTCTATAGCTAAAACATGGTACAACAACAAATTAATCATGGTTTTGCTACACCAGGGGTGTCCAAACTACGGCCCGCGGGCCAAATGCGGCCCGTGGATGAATTTTAAGCGGCCCGCAGCTGTTTTAATAGTCTACGTTATGTATGGCCCGCCAAGCATAATTTACAAAATAGGCCTATGCAGTCTCAAAATGTCAACACAAGATGGCAGCACTACATTTTAGACTTTCCAAAACCAAGACTACTGAAAAGTGGACGGGACCTGTTGTACTTTATTGTGTTGCAGTACACACAATTGCGGTAAATTAGCCACCACTGTAATCAAAACGCACAAATAAATCTCATATTAATTTATAAGAATTGAAAGGTAGAAATAATAACTGTAAAAACTTTATTTTTGGTTAACAGGTGGCTATAAGTAACCACAGTATATTTTAAAAGCGGAAACAATGGTGGTAACTGTGTGTAAGGGGCTTGATACAATGTAACTGTTCTGTCAGCTTTTATGAAAAGAAGTTACCATGATAACTGTCATTTATCCCACAGTTACTACAGTTAATATTTAGTTACTGTAAAATCGCTATAAATTGATAAGCGATCACATTCAAAACAATCAGAAATATGTTGTGTTGGTAAAATCTGATTTACTTATGTTTAATTTTTGATGGCTAATACAAAGTTACCACAGATTTACTGTAGTATCAATGGTACTCTTAAAAAAGATACAAGGGTTACCAGGTTGAATGTGTGTTAGAGGTTTGATACAAATCTGCAGTCATGTCAAATCATTAATGGTAGGTTTCTAATACCAAGTTACCATAGCTTTATTGTAGTTTATCTGTTGTACTTAAAAGTGGAAAGCATGGTTACTGTATGTAAGGGGCTTGATAAAATGTAACTGTTCTTGTTAGCTTTTATGAAAAAGTTCCCATGGTAACCCTGCCATTTATTCAACATTTACTACAGGTAATAACAGTAGTATTGATGGAATTTTAAAGATGAAGTGATGGTAACCACGGTATGTAGGTTTGATACAACGTAACTGTTCTTGTCAGCTTTAACAGAATAAACTCTTAAAAGTTACCATGGCCACCCTGTCATCCCTTATGAAAATCAACCAAGGTTTAACTACAAAGAAAAAAAACATGGTTTCTATAGCTAAAACATGGTACAACAACAAATTAATCATGGTTTTGCTACACCATGGTACTTGTAGTACGCTGACAAATTTAGTAATACACCAAAAAAAACATGGTTACTACACTTTTACTACAATAAAACCATGGTTAAATTGCATAAGGGGTTTGTCATAGCTACTACAGCTATTATTAAAACTCTAAAGTCATGGTAAATTAATATGGGGTTTCCTTGTTTTAACAGTTTAAAAACTAATTCTTGGTTTAAATTTTTTTAAATATTTATTTCATTATTTATTTATGTCAGATTGCTATAATACCAAGTTATCGTAGATTTATTATAGTAGTATCAATAGTTATAGTAACAGCAGTATTTAAAGTGCATTACCCATGGTTACTATGGTGAACGTAACTGCTCTCCATAACTGTAACACTGAAAGTGTCATAGAGGACACACAGGTGTAGAAATAGAAACAACAGAAATAGATCGATCGGAGATCAAATTCAGGATCCATAGGTCTTTACTAAATGATATCTTCCGATCGTGTAACAGTTAAGCTCAGTTTACCTTTTTGAACTGCGTTTGCCCCCGTGTCCTCCTCCTCACCATCATCATCCTCATCGCGGTCAAGGTCGTTTCTCTTACAGCAAACCGGCAAACAAACCCGGTAAAACGCCGGGCCAACTGCGTCAGCATCCGCGTCCACTGGCACTTCTGATCGAGTTTGTAACTCAATTTCCTCCCCAACATCCCCATCGTCAACTTTATGACAAAGCACCCTGATGTCGTCCGCTCTATAAGGGACAACAGATAAATCTGTGTCATTATTACTCACAGAGCCATTGCGCTGTCTATTATCACGTGTCCTCCTCCTCACCATCATCATCCTCATCGCGGTCAAGGTCGTTTCTCTTACAGCAAACCGGCAAACAAACCCGGTAAAACGCCGGGCCAACTGCGTCAGCATCCGCGTCCACTGGCACTTCTGATCGAGTTTGTAACTCAATTTCCTCCCCAACGTCCCCATCGTCAACTTTATGACAAAGCACCCTGATGTCGTCCGCTCTATAAGGGACAACAGATACATCTGTGTCATTATTACTCACAGAGCAATTGCGCTGTCTAATATCACCCATGACAGAGGACAACAGCTGCTTGGCATACCTTGACCACGCGTCTTGACACACGGTTGCCTTCGGGTAGAAATGGTACCGAGCAACAAGTTAAATAATTAACCTTGTACAAAGAAAGAGGTGGTTGCGTTCCTCTGCCGCTAGAGGAAGACAAAATGCGTTTGAAGAGCGGTTGGACGACAATGCCGTTTCCCAGCGTTTGAATCCAGAGAATAAAGAATCACACACATGTACTTGTATGTCGATGTCATGAGATATTCTCTTGAGTCTTGGCGTTTAGTTCATATTTCAACAAATAATATTTAGCTAAATGAAAACGAAGCATTTAGGAACAGTTTTTGTTACTGTCGTCAACTCAAATTCCTTGTGTGTGTAAACATACTTGGTAATAAAGCTCTCTCTGACTTCTGATAAGAGGACGGTTTTTTTTTTTGACAGGTTTCAGGCATTAGATTCACACTTTCACGTAAAATCCATGCATCACGACAAAGCAGGCTCATATTTTTTAAGGTTTTATTAGTTCTAACAAAAACAAGTACCAGTAAACAACTAACCTTCCTTCCCACATTTACTTTACCTCAATAACTGAAATCTAAGTCTAAGTTTATTGCAATCCGATTATTAATGAAACTGAGTCAAAAACAAGCTTCAAATCTATCACACCCAATGTGGTTAAACTGGTCGATTTTGTTTAAAAAAGTTAAAAATGGCTTTTTACATCACCGTAAAAATGTAAACAGTTTATTTGGCAGATTGTTACTAAGTCAACAGTTAACTGATTTGACCTTTGTTGTTTTCATATTATACCTCTTTAGTGACTACACGGCAAGCATGAGAATATGTTAACAACAGCTTTTGTTGAAAGGGACAAAAAAAACAGGAAAAATGAAAAGTGCAGAGCAGATGGTGACAACAGAGAAAAAGACACAAAAGGCGTTTCTAGAGAGGCATTCATCTGGAATTATTATTATTATTAGCGCTAGGCTAGATCATGCATGTAGTTTCACAATAGGCTCGACTGTGTCAGGGTCTGGTTCTCTGTGCTTCTCGGCACCCTAACTGCTTAGGTCGATCATCAAGTGCTCGTAGATCTGCGTCTTCCCTTTAAAGCTGGACGCCAGCAGGAACTCGCGGTTGTCAATGGACACCAGCGAGAACGCTCTGGGCGCCTGGACGTTGAGCTCCTGGAAGTGTACAAACTGGCCCTTCTTGGTCTCCCACTGGTAGACCTGGGTTAGCGAGTAGTCGCTGCCTAGGATGGCGTACTGCCAGTTGCCGATGGAAACAGGCTGGAAGACCATGGATCCCCGCGAGGGCATTGTCTGTATCTCTGTGAACATAGAGCCGTCCCACTTCATCACCTTGGAGTCGCCAATGAAGCGCGTCAGACAGACAAACAGCTCCCCCTTTACCTTGAAGTGTTTGACGGCGTAGACGTCCTCCATCTCTGGAATGTCCGTCCGTCTGTCGAACTGCTTCTGGCTTCTGCTCCACTGGTAGATAACAGGCCGCTGCGAGCTGCTAGACAAAATAAGGTGGGGTTTGCCTGCGATATCCAGATACTCCACGTCAGTGTCACGGTACCAGGGATGGAGAGACTGGTGAGAGTAGAAGCCATTGCCGTTCCACTTGTACACCGTGGTGGAGCCAGCCTTCGAGCTGTCCGCTATCACGAAGAAGAACTCGCCGTCCACACGGAACGTCTCGATGTCGTTGGGTTTTCTGATTTTCAGGATGTCGATGTCCTGGATTTTGATGAATTTGTTGGCAGAGATGTCCATTTTGTAGATGTGAGAGCCACCGAAAAGTTGGGCGACTACGATGAAGAGGTGGTTATCGATGACCATTGGCTTGCACACTACCGTGGAAGTGCCTGTAATGACAACCACAGAAATGCCATTAAAAATCAATTCAGTCAATCAGTCTCTGCATTAAATAACCAGTTTTTGTGGCTCTGCAATTGGGGGATTCAGACCAGAGCAGCATTGCACTCTGGGTAGGAGGTGTGATGTGTGATGCTCACTCTCTATGGTGTCATAAGCTCTGAACTCCATGTTGACGTGGTCCCATTCCATAAAGCTGCATTTTCCAGAGAAAGGCTGGGCGTATACGACATACTGATCATTCCCAAACGTAAAGGCCTCCACAGATATGGACTCAAATGCAAGGGTTTTCTTTAAAGCAAACTCTGCAACAAACAAACAAAGATTCATTTTTCATGAGATTTGATGGCCAAGTCATATTTCAAACCTTTCTTACAGATTTCCATAAATATATTCCGGCGCTATCCACATTCAATCAGTGCACTACAAACTGGCCCTTCTTGGTCTCCCACTGGTAGACCTGGGTTAGCGAGTAGTCGCTGCCTAGGATGGCGTACTGCCAGTTGCCGATGGAAACAGGCTGGAAGACCATGGATCCCCGCGAGGGCATTGTCTGTATCTCTGTGAACATAGAGCCATCCCACTTCATCACCTTGGAGTCGCCGATGAAGCGCGTCAGACAGACAAACAGCTCCCCCTTCACCTTGAAGTGCTTGACGGCGTAGACGTCCTCCATCTCTGGAATGTCCGTCCGTCTGTCGAACTGCTTCTGGCTTCTGCTCCACTGGTAGATAACAGGCCGCTGCGAGCTGCTAGACAAAATAAGGTGGGGTTTGCCTGCGATATCCAGATACTCCACGTCAGTGTCACGGTACCAGGGATGGAGAGACTGGTGAGAGTAGAAGCCATTGCCGTTCCACTTGTACACCGTGGTGGAGCCAGCCTTCGAGCTGTCCGCTATCACGAAGAAGAACTCGCCGTCCACACGGAACGTCTCGATGTCGTTGGGTTTTCTGATTTTCAGGATGTCGATGTCCTGGATTTTGATGAATTTGTTGGCAGAGATGTCCATTTTGTAGATGTGAGAGCCACCGAAAAGTTGGGCGACTACGATGAAGAGGTGGTTATCGATGACCATTGGCTTGCACACTACCGTGGAAGTGCCTGTAATGACAACCACAGAAATGCCATTAAAAATCAATTCAGTCAATCAGTCTCTGCATTAAATAACCAGTTTTTGTGGCTCTGCAATTGGGGGATTCAGACCAGAGCAGCATTGCACTCTGGGTAGGAGGTGTGATGTGTGATGCTCACTCTCTATGGTGTCATAAGCTCTGAACTCCATGTTGACGTGGTCCCATTCCATAAAGCTGCATTTTCCAGAGAAAGGCTGGGCGTATACGACATACTGATCATTCCCAAACGTAAAGGCCTCCACAGATATGGACTCAAATGCAAGGGTTTTCTTTAAAGCAAACTCTGCAACAAACAAACAAAGATTCATTTTTCATGAGATTTGATGGCCAAGTCATATTTCAAACCTTTCTTACAGATTTCCATAAATATATTCCGGCGCTATCCACATTCAATCAGTGCACTCACATATATATTATATAGCAAATCTCAACAATTTGATTGTTTATATTGTCACCATGCAAACAATCCAGTCACCCAGTTCTAAACTGCTAAATGTGGACAATTGTGAAATAAGTTATTATAAATATTAACATCATTATTTTTGTGTGTGTGTATTGTGAAAGGCTATACAAATACAATTGACTTTACTTGACATTTTTGTTAGCTTTGAGGCTAATGGACAATATATTAGCCTGGCCAATTTATCATTTATATTTAGCCATTTTGACTATAAATGTATCGACTGTTATTAAATGTTACTAAAAGTTTAAGTTTGTAATATTTTATTTTATTTCAAATAACAAACATGTTTTTTTTTTTATGATTTTGGTTTAGCTAAAAGTTGGTTTAGTTCCAAAATGTTCATTATTACCAAAGGGCCTTTAAAAAAAACGTATTGGCCTGATACTATTTGAAGTTATTTTGATATCTACATACTTTTGTACTTCTAAAAGTTCTTACACATTTGAAATTTACATTCTTTCTCATTCAGAAAAAAATTACCATAAATGATGAATGTTGTGTAATATAGACTCATTTTTAAGGTAAATATGTAATACTTTGTTTCTGAATTGCTTTAATTTATACATAATGCATTTCTAAGCATTTCCGCAGGCATGAAGGATCAGCTTATTTCAAAGCCAGAATCTGTTGTACTCAGGAGAGTCTAGTGCACAATTACCTGCTGTAATGCAGTCAAAGGACTGAGGCACCAGGTCATTTATCTTCTTCCCTTGATAGGGTGGAGGCCCACTGCAGTATAACTGATCCACCGTTGCATTAGTGCTGTACATCCATTCCACCAGCCACTTCAATTTACAGTCACAATTGAACATGTTTCCTCTGAGATCCCTGCTCAGTGGATTTACAGATTATATTCTTGTATATTACATAACAAGAAAGGTAGACATGTGCTGTAAAGTACATACACTTTTGTTAAGGCATCTATTCCTTTGAAAATATCTTTGGGCAGCGTCTCAAGATTATTGTAGGCAAGACTCCTAACAAACAAAAACGATTAGGTAACACTTTACAATTAGACTTTTTTATTGTTAACATTAGTTAACTACATTAGTTAACATGAACTAAGAAAGACCCATTCTTGTAAACTATTTATTAATCTTAATGTTAACCTCAACATTTACTGATTGTTGTGAACTAACATGAGCACAAACATTTTCATCAATTAACATGAACACAAAAATGCACACTATATATACTGTACATAATAATAATTAATTTAATTAAATATGTATAATGTATGTGTTTTATATAGTGCTGTCAAACGATTAATCGCGATT